AATACCGCGGCCCTATCCACAGCTCGGGCGAGGCGGCAGGCCCTTCAGCCTGTGGTCTTGATGGTAATATATCTCAGCACCACAGAAACTCGACCGCAAACGTTGAAGCGCCGTCTTGGGCGGGCCCTCAGAGCAACCTATTTGCAAATGCCAAGCTAAAGCGGCTCCGTAACGGCCACAGTCTCCAGGCTTCTGGATGTGTTCTGGAGCAGAGCATCGTGGGATTGAGAGTGGAAGAGCTCCACTCGACCGGTTCTCCTGCTGAAGTTTCTGGATCCTCTTCCTGCACAATGTTCTCAATTTGGCCCAGTTGCCCATCTGGCCTCTGCTTCAAAGAAAGCTTCGCTTCGTGTTGCTTTGGGTACCCGTACGCTGCACGGATCCAGATACAGATACTGGGCCCATTGACCCCTCAATCTCCATTAGAGTATGGCATCTCGCTGCTAAACCTCCGGGGCTTCCTCGCAGACAAGAGGCGCGGTGGGGTGTCGACGTCGACCTCTGTCGATTTCTCTCACTTGTCAAGTTTTCGGAGCAGATCTTTCATCTGTGGCTGGATTGGGTTTTACTCGTCCAGGAATTGATGGACATTGGCCGAAATCAACGAGAATCGGAGGTTGCACTGCCTGCGTCATATTCAGTGGTTGAAATGACTCGGATTTGGAGACAACTTCTCCACGGATCCTTACAGCACTGTGAGTTATTACAGAGTACGGAGTACATCTCGGAGTCTTTGCGAACGTTCGAGGAGTGAGTTCAGGCCACGAAACAACGGCGGACCAATGAGACAAACTCCCGTCCCTCTCTCACTCGGCCGACACGCCAGATCGGCCTGATGGGCCACTGGAAATCCGAACCATAGCGAACCTGACGTATTGGGTTGGAGATTGATTGATTTGTTGCCCCGGAAGAAGCAGCGCTCGAAGGCAGAGCCTGTCGAGATCATGATCTGAGCAGAGGCTAGAGCAGGACATTCCAGGGTTCGTCATCAAGATGCAGCTACTTGCGACTTTGCGACCTATGGACAAGTTTGGCATGGCATGTCACTCAAGTCTCAACGGCATCCCGTCCTGTCAACTTACAAGCGTTGGGCGGCGGTCGGGAGCCACAAAGCTGGCGGCGGATTGCAGCGACACCACAAACGCGACTGACTGTCAGACTGTCCCATGTGGTTGATCACCTCCGCAAATAGCACACCGACGTTGTGCCACACACCCTGCAGCAACCCCGTTGGCAACTGACAGGACGCTTGCTGTGGTTGCTGCAGCTCCAAGACAGCCAGACGACACGTCGTCTTCAGCCCGGCAATGTGGACGGTGCATCCATCATCACGGAGGCTGAAGCGTGGTAATTTCAGAAGTGGTGTTGGAGGCTGGAGCGTAGCCACCTTCACCCACAAGCTATAACCCACTGTTTGAATGACGGACACCGTCAACCGTGCCAACCACGCGAACAACAAGCAACAAGCCTCGACTGGGGAGGCTGGAGATCGGAGAAGAGGTAGCGAGTCACGGCGATTGGAAATGAACAGCGTTCGTCTGGTCCAGTTGACCAGTGCCAGTGGAGGATGAGTCCCCACAATGTGGAGAGGGCGAGAGAAACAGACAGACCCCGGCTAGATGGCCGAAAGCAGCAATTGAGCAGATGAGCGGTGGGGTTTGGCGCCTTTGCCTATGGTTCAGACTTCAGAGTTTCCCCCGACATCTGCCATGCAGTAGCAGAAGGACAAGAGCAACTCCAGGCGGTACGCTTCGCACCGGTCTAGCAATACTCGCACCTGTGGCCCAGGCCAAGTTCATGCCTTGTGAGCTGATTCATTAGACAACCAAGCAACCCACGCAGCAGGGACAGCGTTTGCATGCCGCATCAGGTCCGAGTTCGAGACAATTCCAAGAGTCGAGAATAGTTGAAATGCAACTCTCGTTGCTGGGCCTTGGTCTGGTTTCTGGGTCACGGCCGACTAACATGCAGCAAGTCTGACCTGCCAGTCATCACCGAGAGGGGCACTCAGACCAGGCGTTCCGACGTCGCACAGGACGATTGGGTCCCGCCTATCGCGGTGCACACGCATAAGGTATCCTGCAGGATGGACGTCTGGAGTCCTGGACGGATGGATGGATGCGCGCACGCATCCACGCATCAGGAGGGGAGGGGAGGAGGCGGATCGCCGCCAAAGAAGGACTCCTGTCGGGAACAGCATCCCAGGATGGAAATACGCTCAACAGCACATCCAGCATCAACCTGCTCATCACACCAAAGCTACCAGACACAATCAAATTACTACACAGTAGATGAATGCAGCCGCAAGAACATCTCCGGACAGCACTATATCTACTCATAAACAGATCTGGCAGTTCGATATTTTGCGTACGTACAAGCAATCACAAGATCAAGAGTTCCATGCCCTTGTGAATTCTCGGTTCATCCCCCCTGCTTCACGCTGGGCAAGCGGCGAGCCGCTCCATCCATGGGAGAAGTGGAGGACGCATCCCCGAATCCCGATATGCGTCGACAAGCCCGCCTTAGTCGATGCGAGCGTGGGAGCGATACGAGCGGCAGCCGGCAGCAAAAAAAAAAAAAAAAAAAACAAGAGCGCTCACCAGAGTCCAGATCGGTCTCTGTCCGACGGCCCCTGCCAATGTGTATCTCGGGCCACGGCGGTGACGATGCAGCAACCGCAGCGTGGAAGAGGAGCCGCATCGTGAAGCGGCAATAAACATGAACCTTCTTGGACCAACCCAAGAGCAGCTATTACGTTGAGCAAATTTAACTTGCCCACCCTTCGTGTAGGTTGTCGCCGTCGTCACGTAGGCTCTAGCCGTCGGCACTTACAAGCGGACGCCAAAAACGGCCATCGTCTAAAGAGAGAGACAGAGAGCCAAGGCGATATTGCGGTCTTTCTCCGGAGTGTCAAAAATGGCTGGAGAACTGGAGCAGTTCGTAACTTCGTACCAGTCAGGCAATAAAGTGACGAGGCGGGAGGGCGACGTCAAGTGGGTTTTCGGAGGGCCATCGTGTCTCAAAGGTTCACCCCGACAGCTTTCTCGCCCACCGCTAATTTACGGGCTACAGGCGCTACAGAAGCATTATTGCTTTTTTCCCTATCCCGTGTTTTATTTTATTTTCTTTGTTTTTTTCTGCTCGCCTGCTCGTCTTCGAGACCCTTGGAACTGGGTAACCTAGTCACTTACTGAGGAAGCTGGGGCAGTTGAAAGCCCGTGATCTCGAATGACACGAGCTTGGCCGTCTAGAAGCTCTGCAAAAGAGCCAAGAGTCCCTATGAACTAAACCTTAGAGGAAGGTACAGAGGCCGTTTGTAAGGATAGGTTCGGTATCCCGGGGGCCTTAGCGGCGGCTTGACTGCGGCAAGAAGAAGGAGACTGAGTTGAAGACACGCGAGCAGCCCCGTTGGTCAAGGAGGTTCCCAGCGATCTTCATTCAACGACGTGGGCAGCGCGGGCTAGCGGCGTGGGCCGGGGCATTCGCCTTACGTACAGAATAGCCGCTTCAATTTCAGGGTCCTTTTGGCTTCTGGAAGATTGTAAGCAAAGCTGAAGCAGCGTCGGACCTTGCTTCTCGACTGGGCATGGGGGGGTTGATGGTCACGGACGAGACGAGACGAAGGAAACAATAAGCCGGAGCAGCGCACGGAAGATGAAGCGAGCAGCAGAGACAATGCCGGGGGCCGTGCTGAAAATGGAGTGAAGAAAGAGGGCGAGCCTCGAGCAGGAGGAGGATTGGAGGAGGCTAGGGGAGGAAAGGAGAGGAACCCGCGGGAGGCTTGGAGGGCACTTTCGGAGGAGGGAGTTTCGACTTTCGAGCCACTGTGGAAACACATTCTTCCAGGGCCAGAGCCAGAACCAGAGAGAGAGAGCCAGAGGCACGGGAGACTATCCGTTCTGCGGTGGTAGTTGGGACGAGACAAGGACTTGGTGGCCCCCGGGGTGTCGTCCTGAGTTGGACAAGGGTTCGGACCTCTCTACAGCCAACCACGACCCGGGTAGAAGGCCGCTGCCCACCCGGCGACAGGGCCAGGACGGTGGCTAAACCGCTTCCAGGCTAGAAGACGCTTGGCCTACTTTGGCTCTGGGCCTCTTTTTGGCTGTGGCTCTGGCTCTTGTAGCGGTCTTTTCTTGGGAAGGGCCTTCCGGGGGAGGTGGACCACGGCGCGGAATTGGGAGGGGAGAGTCTGAAGAGTGTGAGAGAGAGAGAGGGTGAGGTGAGGACGGGGATTCCTTGCAGCGCGAAAGGGCGGTCGCCGCCGTCGCCGCCGCCGCTGCGATGATCGTGGCCGCCGCCTTTGCGCCTCACGTTTCCGCGGTCCCAGGGTTGCCGTACCGCGCTCCCTTGACTGACTACTAACCAAGTGGTAGTGTGTGGCCTGAGCTGCTCTGGCCGTAGCTTTTTTTTTGAAGTTTCCTACGAGGACTGCAGTGACCATATAGGTTTACAATATGCTGCTTTGGTCGCGATATTGTTTTGGCTTGAAGGTTGTATGTATGTGTTGGAGTTGAAGAAAACTTTAAACTTAGCAACGGGTGGATGTAAGTTGGTAGCGAAACCAGAGAAACGGCGAGGCAAAGCGTTGTGGGCAGAAGAAAGTGACGATGGACCACCTTTGGAGGAGAGAGCACGGAGTACGGTACCGGCGGTATGCACAGAGGAAAGGAAAGCCATGCCGAGAGAAGATACGGAGAGAGAGAGAGAAGCAGAGGGTGTGTGTCTTGTTTACTACTGCTTTCAAGTCTCACACCCACCATATGTCTCTTGGAGCAGATAGGTACGGATAGACAGCGAGAGAGACGACGAGAATGGGAGAGAGAGAAAGCAGAGTGAGAGAGTGAGAGGGTGAATGAGAGACACGCCCCCCCTTCTCATTCCTCGCTCTCTTTCCTATCTGTACCGTCGTCTACTAACTGCGTATGGTCTGGCACTGGAGGAGAGGAAGAGAGGGCGGGCAACTCCCTCCGCCAATTGCCGCAGGAATAAATCTAATAGGGAACCCGCTCCCGCATGCCCCCCTTCCCTTTTCCACCCACCGCCCATAAGATAGTGTACGTACTCTCCTACAGCGCACCCCCTCCATCCGACTGAATCGCCCTCAAGGCTACTGGGCCTCTCATCCTCACGCCCCCCCCCCCCCTCATTCCGCACCCCCGAGTCTCGTCCCATCCATTTAGACCCCAAGCATCCCGCCCAAACTACTTCACCACTCCGCTCCCCTCCATCGCAACGCACGCATCTTTATCTTGCTGCGATTGCCTACTCACTCACCACTCCCGATCAGGTCATCTTCACCTCACTTACACCTCACATTCACAAGCAAACCCAAAAAGTACGACCTCGTTTGGTGGCACAGCGCATCCTTATCTCTACACCGACAACCACCGTCCAACACAACCACAACTATACCCATACCTCTACCATCCTCTTGGGCACCGCTTCGATCCACGGTTTACACCAGGTTTAATACGAAGCATTCCCGACCAAACGCGACGCCAACAACCACGTCCCGCCCTTTTTTTCTCTAATCACTAAACACTTCGTCGCAACAAGTATTCGTTGCTTCCCATCCTCGATTCTTACGAGAAATCAACCACACGCCCTTTCGAATTCCAGCAATCGAGCGCCTTGAACACCCACCTAGGACGCCCTGCATCCTTCACCGCCAAGCTTCACTTACACCAACAATTCCTACAAACCAACCTCACCTCGACTTTGACATAATGGCAACCGACCTCATAATGCCTACCCTCGCCGAGCAGCGCGGCCCCTCCTTCTACCCCCAGGATCGCCCTCACTTCACACACACTCGATCCCACTCCTTCCAAACAGTACCGCAACCGCAACCCTTCCGCAACCGCACATCACCCTTGAGCACTCCTCATGAGGGCTCTCCCACCTCGCCCAAGTCGTGCCTCACCGAGTCGGTTCGCCCCGTTTACGTGCCCGCCGTCCTCCGCCCAAATCAGCACCACTCCAAGAAGCCGCGCGCTCCCAAGGTTGAGGACCTCGACGGCGAGGATTTGCTCTGCTTGCGCCGCGCCAACAGCAGCTTCATCAGCCTCCCTGGCTTCAGCGTTCTCGGAGCCAAGCTGTCGCGCCGCTCTACCGGTGACAGTGGCAAGGTTATTGACCTCGAGCTGGACCCTGAGCTCTTCCCCGACGTTGCTGGCGAACCCACCCGCAAGCACTGGAAGGTATGTTGGATCTCTCAACACTCTCGCCAATCTGCCTTGAAGTATATAACTAACAAAACCCCAACAGCCCGACTCTGAGTCCATCATGTGCGACGACCCGACTTGCAAGCGCAAGTTCAATGCCCTGAACCGTCGCCATCACTGCCGCCGCTGTGGCAACATCTTCTGCGGTGCCCACTCTGGTGAAGTCATCCCTCTGGACGAGGACTGCAACTACAACCCCAGAGGAGCCCTCGCTCGCGCCTGCTTCCACTGCTTCACCGAATTTAAGGTATGGAAGAGCCGTAACGGCAGCCGCAGCGGTAGCGATCAGAGCTCCGACTCCTCTGGCACCCCGTCGAGCCCCATCGTCGCGAGCCCCGTTGCCCCGATGATGCCTGGCATGCTCCCCCCTACCAAGGGCCCCGAGGTAGCTGCTAGTGTTCCTCGCGACTGGAACTGGAGCACATTCTAAATGTACACTGTACATTGGAGACGACAAAGAAAGTACAAGGGTGCCCTCACACCCAGCGGATTACGACTCACGGCCTTAATGAAGAGCGAAACAATAGAATCATAGACTTACTCACACGACGGTGGCGATTCTCACCAGCCGCCCCGACGATACCAGACATGGAAAATCACCAAACACTTTTTACACCCTTTCGACTCACACACCAATACCCACTAATGGACTGCACCATGCGTCACCCATTATCACTTTCATCCGCAATAGAACGCCTCATCGGTTTTCGAGCCCAGCCGGATTGGCTTGGACTCTGTTTTGCATTTACAGCGTGGCGTTGGACGGACACACCAAGACTCGGATTTGGCTTTGCCAAACTCCCCTCATATCAATCGCATATGGAAAAGGGTTGTTTTTATGGGAAAGCGATACAACCGGGCTCTTAATTTTTCAACACTCCAGTTTCTACGGAGTTTTAGCGGCATACCCCTTTGAAGGCTTATACCCTGATGTGACGGCCACATGCTTTTCGCACCGCGTACTCGGATCTCCATCCGGGGGTATGACTATCTTACACCTGGGATGGGAGGAAAAGAGACGAGAGGGCGGAGCAAGTCGGCCGAACGCCTTCATGGACCGTCGTTGCGTGTATTTAGAGTTGCCGTCACCGTATTGGTTGACGGGTTGGAGATCTAGAGAGGGGGGAAGGGGGAAACAACCCGGACGGGGCGGGCGCGCAGCCAACCTTGTTTGCGCTGGCGGCCGAGTCCAGCCGGTCTCTGCCTTTCACACTCTTCTGAGGTCTCGGAAGAAACAATACAAACAATTGCAAACAAACTCTCCCATTGACTGCAAACCTTGGCTTATCGGTGACTTGTGATATGAGTAATAGTATGTGATGTACCTGAGGGCGTGACTGTTGTCTCGTTTGTCTTTGTCTCAACGGCCGGAAGGAACTATATGGTTTCCGCATGTTAATCCGCACTCCGTGAAGGCATGCGCAACCTTGCCTCTATAAAACCGAGAGTGGGTGAGCTACCTGGGTATGAGAGAACCGTGTAACCGGGTGCTCTGACTCCTGCAAGCCCAGAGGATGATGACAGTGGTGGTTGTCTGGTACCAATCACCAGGCCTCCGACTGTTTTGGTCTCAGTACTTTTCTCCCATATGATGGCATACGAGGATGAGAATCAAGTGTTTGTCATTAGGAGTGGGAGTGGTCTTTTGAGTATTCTCTGCTGAATGGGACACGAGCGTTGGAAAGTGGTGTTGTCAAGGTCCTGTGAGCTCTACGGTTCCGGTGTTTACTAACTAGAAGGACTCTCCCATAGGTTCCTAGGTGTTGTCATATGAGTAAAGTCTGCCCTGAACTCAACCTCACACGAACCTGGCCGAGAAGTGTGATGAATTGTCTTCCTGTCGGTTTAGGCCACAACGATGGGATTCCTTAGTAATGCTTTTATACGCCCCCTTCTCAAGGCTACAGCTGCTTCTGCCTGTAGTTAGTAAACGGTCATGATGTCTTTCTCTCTAGGAGTATGCTTAATACCAGTCTTGATACTTTGACTCACCGCTCAACGGTCAGATGTCGTTGACCTGTGCGGAGTAAAATCGGTCAGCGTAGGTCGTGTGCGGTGTAAGGCAGGTCGTCGGTCGTCCATAAGTGGTGGCAGTGAGCAGTCTGTTGGTTGGTAGTGGTGGTGGTGGGTGGTCATCATTCTTGAGCCGAAGGTAGCCTAGCGTTCTGCATCGAATCGAACGTCGGACCTCGACGGGTCGCTTCCTCTGGTGATCTTGTTGTCTCTTTTCTTGCCCGTCTGACTGCTCACAGTTTCACTTTCCCATTCAATTCATTTTGTTTCAAGTTTTTCACGTGGTGATGTGCTGCTGATATTTTGATGTCTCCTTCCCCGCGAGATTCATTTGTATTTGCGAGCTGGGTTGAGAGAGTGTGTCCCCGGATAGGCTAAGCCTGACTTGAGAGCTTCAGCAGCAGGTGAGGAAATGCAAGATGCAAGGCCCAGATTCTTAGCTAGGAGAGGCGGTCACGGTGAGCAAGAAGAAGATGAGGTGAGGCCAAACACGCACACCTATAGTACGGTAGCCTCCGCGCCTGCTGCGGTTCGATTTAGCTTGAGGGGGAGCTTAGGGACAGAAGAGACTAGGCGAGAGGCTAAGCTCCTGAGTGCCTAGGAGCTTGGATCAACGACGAGAAGAAAGGGGGGTGTATGTATGTGTAGTACGTGTACCTAGGGTAATTCGAGTATGTGCTTTGTATGATTCATCGCCGTAAGCGTCGTTGTGATTCGTCTACCTGGATCTCGCCGCCCTCTTCTCCAATACTATCAGGTAGATGACTCTGCAGGACCGTTGTTGGCCTGGCTTGTGGCGGCAAGGAAATGATTCGAGTAAGGTTGGTTTGGCTGGTACCTTGAGAGCCTCCCACGCCATGGCCATTTTCACCGGCAACTTGTGTTTGAGGCTGCTCTTTTCAGGCGGATATGGCCAAGCTAGTAGGTTGTAAGCCATGAACCGTCTTCTGTGAGAGAGCTGTATTGCTGCGCCTTTACGACGCGGATATGAGTCAAGAAGCATGACTATTCAATCCACACAACCTGAACTAAGGAAAATTGGCCGCATACAACGCGATACAGAACATGAGGTTAGTACCTAGGTGAAGTCACACAAGGTTGGACGAAAGCAGCCGGACATCGAGAACGATCAGCAAAGGGGCTAACGAGAACCCCCCACCCCCGCGAATCCACAATCCCATGGAGATCCCAAGATAGACTTGCTTGGTTCCTTCGACTAGTTCTTCTGTCTAATTCATCCAAGGCAGTGCCTATTCTGGAAAGGCGTTATGCGCGAGTTGAAAAACGAAACGTCGTACCCTACGAGCAAGCTCTCCACTGACAAGCAGGGCGTTCGATACACCTTGCCACGGTAGACGAGTACGTTTCGAGCTTTTTGCGCCTCATCGTATTGTAAAGACCTTTTTTTTGTTTCTTCCTTTTTGTGTCTTCAGACTCCGTCTTGTAATTCGAGGTTGACCAAGCAGCATATTCACTTACCCATGCACTGCGCTTGGAACTGAATCAGGGCGCAAAGAGGGCAAACAAGAGATACATGGCTTGTAGAGAACGAGGCTTCGCGGCAATTGAGTGATGCAATCTATTATCGAGGGAGAAACTCGCTTCAGGGTTCAGTGGCGTATTCGGCTCTCTCGTATCGTAGCCGAACCCGTTCCTGGAAGACCAACGACGACTACCTGGCCCACACGCCCCAAATACCATTATTATGTGTGGCATTGGTCTAGTTGACAATCTACAGCAATCGTTGTTCCCACGCATTCATCAGCACCTTCGAGGTACCATCAAACACGCCAAATTAGCAATTCATTTGAAGCAGCTCTCATGTAGCATGACATGGTCGTACGGGTTCACTCGAAACCACTACAACTGACTCACCCATTCAGACACACCTTTCCCCCAGAAAATCCAGAGACAAGCAGCCCAGAGATCGACAAGGTGGACATGCGAGCGAATGAAAAAGAGAGAGGAGAGGCTGAACACGGCATACCAATTTTAGTACGTCTACACCCCCCTTCCTCTCGCCTCCTTCCGACCACATCGGAGTGAGCTCCGGTTTTGGCCCCCCACCGCATCCGGAAGACGACGAAAATGCGGAGAAGATGGTCCGGCTGATCGGACCCGAGAGCTCGGGTCTGTACCCCATAATTTCGCCGCCGCCGCGTCGTCACACGAGGTGGCTTTCCCCCTTTTCTCCGTTCCGGGAATGTTGTTCAATTATGCTTCTACACCCCGGATGTGGATGGAGAAAGCCTGATAAATACATTTAGGCCGGAAGTTCGACCTGACACCTCTTCGAACAAAACCGATATGCACGAAAATATTTAACATGTCAAATTTCATATTGATGATGACTATACATACTTGCACCGGATGGATGACACCCGGCTCGCCCTATTTACCCTACGCGCGAAATGCAAGACACTAGACGGTCACGACTAGATAACGAGCGCTCCGGGTGATGCAAATGCTTTACCCCAATCATGTTTTCCCAGCTCAAAACGCCGTTGAATCAAACCCAATGCCGCCTCCACGAGAAGACCTCTTTCAGGCTTCTCTTCCAGCCGTGTTCCCCCCTTACCCCTTTTCCCATTACGTCCTATATTCAGGACCGATCCATGCGTGCCAGCTTTCCCTAGTGCTTGGCCTTGCCGTTACCAGCGCGCTTGGGGCTGCCCTCGACGTTGTACGAGGCAGAACCGTTGTAGATTTCGCGGTTGACCTCGCGGGCGGCGTCCCAGCCAGCCTTCTCCGCAAGAGTAACATTGCTCTCACGACGGGCCTTGCCCTTGCCCTTGGGTGCGGCGGTGCTGCGGCGGATGTAGCTGCGGATGAAGAACATGACGAACAGGTAGGTGAGCGGTGCCAGATACAGGACGTTGAGCCAGATGGCAAAGGTCTCGCCGCTGGTGGTAACGCAGGGCTGGGTGACGAAGATGGTCTCAGCGACGAAACCGGGCTGAGGGGGGGCAGCGGCGGCGGCGGCGACGGAGACAGCGGCAGCCTCCTCGGCGACCTTGGCAGAAGCGCCGAAGACCATGTCCTTGAGAGCCTCAAAAGCGCCAGTTGCGGCAGTGGCAACGGTCTCGGCGGCAGTGCTGGTGGAAGACTGGGTGATAGCATCGGCGCCCTTCTTGGCAGTGTAGACAGTCACGGGGACGGTGTACGAAACGAAGGAGTGGGCCATGGCGTAGGTAGCTCCGACAAGGAACTGAGTGATCTGGAGAGTGGTGAGGGTTCGCTTGATGGCCATGGGGACGCGGATATTGAAAGCGGTGATGGTGTAGTAGGTGTACTAGACGACTATTAGCAACACTTCAGTTGAGCAAAATAGGCGCAAAACTTACCATCATGGCGTGGATGAAGGAGTTGACTAGGACAAACATCCAGATAGGGGCGGACATGTAGCGCATACCAGCCCACATGCACATCATGGCACCGGCGTGGTGGTAGGTCTGGAGGGTGGAGCTGAGCTTGCCCTTGGCAAGGATGATGAAGGTGTCGAGGACCTCGTAGAACTTGCTCAGGTAGAAGATCCAGCCGTAGAAGGCGAGTCCCTCGTTCCAGATTCTGCCAGTGGCCTCACGGCTGGGGCGTCCATCAAAGCCAAGAGCGTTGTTGCCGGTCAAGCTGGACCAGTAACCGACAGTCTCGTTGTAGACGGTGGCGGCACCGAAGCCTCCGTTGCCGTTGAGCTGGCAGAAGCTGTCGGCAGTGGCAGCCAGACCATTGGGGCCAAAGGGGCTCACAACGCTCCTACGCATGCCGCCGAGCATGCCCCAGAAGGTCCAAGCCGAGTAGACGGCGAGGAAGACATTGTGCAAGACGACAAAGGCGAAGAAGGGCTTGGTCTTGCTGATTCCCCAAGGCTTACGGTTGGTCGAGTTGTTGTACTTGTTCAGGAGCTTGACGGTGACGGCGTAGAGAGTGGCAATGGTGATGGGCACTCTGGGGTCAAGAGCGGCGGTGAAGATGTTGTCGGGAATCTCGACCGGAGGGGCTGCGGCGATGGACCCGGGGAAAGGTGGGGGAATGGCCATATGCGCGCCATCGGGCGGGAAGGTGAAGAGAGAGGCGGACGGGAGCTCGCCGAGCACGGTGACGCCTGCCATGGTGGGGGAGCTTAATTGACCAATTGAGTCGGGGCTTGGTTTTTTGGAAAAAAGTTGCGGTCCCGCCAATGCTGATTGCTCGGGCGTTGGGGAATTTGCTGAGTCGCGGCA